TGCGGTGGCCGGGAGCGGCCACTGCACTCCAGTCTGGGCGACAGAGTGAGACTCCGACTCAAAAAATTAGCCAGGCCTGGTGGCGCATGCCTGTGGTTCCAGATACTTGAAAGGCTGAGGCGGAAGGATCACCTGAACCCAGCAGGTTGAGGCTGCAGTGGCCGTGAGCATGCCCGCTGTACTCCAGCCTGGGCGACGGAGTGAGATTCTAGGGTGGGGTGGCCCTGTGAAATGTAATGTCTTCTCAGCGGACTATCATCTTCCAGGGTCACAGTAGCTCTGCTGCCTACTAGCTGTGTGATCTGGAGCTGATTATTTAGATGATTTATGCCTTCCAAGCTTCAGTTTCCTCATTTACATATTCAGTCAATGAACATCTCTGAGCACCTAAAGCTCAGTCAGCAGACACAAAAATAAAACGAGCTGGCTCCTCACTGGAAGGAGTTCAGCTGAGTCAATTCTGCTTCACCCATTCATCAACCCACCTACAATCTACCAAGTGTCTTCTACTTATAACGCACTTGCTAGATGCTGCAGGGAACTCAAGCGACACAGAAAGATCCTTATTCTCAAGGACAGATAAGACACGTACACATCCCAACAGAGGATGGAATATGGTGGCATCTAACCACGGGGTGGGGGTTCATAGCTGGGAGGGGGTGGTTTAAAGCGGGGGAACATAAGATTTGGACCACGGAAAGCTTGGCTTCTGGATTTTAATTATTTTCCAGTTATTTCGTTCACTGGTATTTTTGCTTTATCTTTGTGTTTTCAGTTACTTTTTTTTTTTTTGAGTTGGGGTCTCACTCTGTCGCCCAGACTCCGGCGATCCTTCCGCCTCAGCCTTCCAAGTAGCTGGAACTACAGACGCATGCTGCCACGCCTGGCTAGTTTTTTTGAATACTTTTTTTTTTTTTAAGAGACAGGATCTTGCTCTGTTGCCTAGGCTGGAGTGTAGGGGTGTGATCATAGCTCACTGCAGCCTCCAACTCTTGGGCTCAAGCGATCCTCCCACCGTAGCCTCCCAGGTAACTAGTACAGGACAGGCCTGGGCCGCCATATCCAGCTCCGTTAATTTACTTTCTTATTAATGAACAACAAAACGCAACCCAGTGCGAGTCACTTAACATTGTCCAAGCATGAAATAAGGATAAGGATGTGTTCATCGTCACTCTTTGGTGGGCAAAGAGAAGGCAAGCCGGTCCCTCTCCCCGCAGCCCTGCCCCTGCCGTGCACCAAATCATGAGGACGGCTGCACTTGCACAATGTGGCAATGAGCAAACGCCCTGCGATGAGCACAGTGAGGCCCCACTTGGAGCTGTTAGTGCCGCATCAGCTAGCTTTATGACAGCTCAAGGACCAGGGGACGTGGCGAGTGAGGCTTGGAGCACAGAAAACAGAGCAGAAAAGCAAACCCTCACGCTGCAGACTCAGCCCCTTCTCCTCCCGCCCCAGAGACCCTGTTACTTGCTTCTGAGATCAGAGACAGGCAAACCGGCTTCCCTCTCTTCGTGAAGGACAGAGAGAAATCGGGCAGGGGTTGCCAACTGCTCCTCTCATGGGACCTCGGGGCAGGCTCTGGGTCTGCCTGCGCCTCACCCATGTTCCCTGCAGGACTCATGGCGTAAGACAGGACGTCCAGACTCCCAGCACCTGCAACTCTGGAGGTCGGGTGCAGAGGAGTGGGAGGGTCTCTGGCAAAGCAGACCTCTTTGTACTACAGGCCGGAAACTCTTCAATACAGAGCGTCACTATGCTAGAAACAAACACAATACAGACAACTCCTCTCTCCTTGAGGGAGAAGAGGGTGGCTTCTCAGGACACTGCCTCTTAGGAGAGATGGGGTCAGAAAATCTAGCCATCAAGATCACCTTCTCAGCCGGGCTCGGCGGCTCAGCCTGTCATCCTGTGCCTTTGGGAGGCTGAGGTGAGTGGATTGCCTGAGCCCGCGGGTTC